CACCTCAACAGCCCTGCAGTATGGACTGCACCTCAACAGCCCTGCAGTATGGACTGCACCTCAACAGCCCTGCAGTATGGACTGCACCTCAACAGAGAGCAAACAAAAGTCCTCAAGATTGGATCAGTAAACAACACCATGATAAACAGGTAAGACTTAAGTTGTCAGCTATTTTGTTTGGCTCTACAATCAAGGGGCACAAAATCAACAGTCCAGAAATCAAATGACATACTGCATTGGGCAAATCTGCTGCATGAAACTTCTTTAAAGCTGAACAATGAATAAAGAATACTGGATAAGAACCGGAAGCGTCACACATCCCTTGTTTAACAAAGTGAAGGTTTGTGCCGACCTGCAGGGATCAAATGTAATGACACCATTTTTCCAACACCATGGGCACACTTTGTGTGTCACATTGGGGGAATTTTCATAACAGTTTAAACTTTTTCATACTGCTGTTACATCTTTAACAGACTATCAAAACCAAATCTATTGCCATAAAGTGACCGCCAACCCAGAGATCCTATATACAGCTTCTGAGGCTATAAAGCGTTATGGGAGCAGCTAGCCTCCTCTTTCTCCCATGTCGAGGCTTGAACCACCGACCTTGTGGTTAGCAGTCTAATTCTTATCTGAAAATGCCATCATACCAAAAACCAAACTCACTGCCAACCAAACTGATACCGAGTCATAGTGACCCTACAGGACAGAGTAGAACTGCCTCCATGGGTTTCCGAGATGGTAACTCTTTATGGCAGTGGAAAGCCCACCTTTCTCCTGACAGTGCCACAGTACAGCTTAAATATAATTCATACATGCACTGGGAAACCACAAATATGTGACTCACTTTATTATCACATATACTTTATTGCAGTGGCCTGGAACCCAGTCCGCAATATCTCCAGGGACTGCCTGGGTGGTGTTGGCAAAGAATGTTGACTATCCCACTGGTAGACAGAAGAAATCTGTGTTAGAAATACAGACTGACCCGTAGAAGCCAAGATGGTGAGACTGGACAGCACCTAACACCATCATCTAACTACCAACTCAACAGTGCGTAACAAGAGCAATCCATTTAGGAAGGAGCCCAGTGATGCAATAGTTCAAGTGTTCCACTCACTGAAAGGTTGGTGGTTTAAACTTCCCTATGAGTTGGCACAACCACCCAACAAGTCACAGTAATTTATACCAAAGATTAAAATTAAATTGTCTTAATAATAGATTCTCAATGTTCTTTTCCCCTTATTTCCATTTTCCTTTGCTGACATATTTCACAATAATTAAGCATTGTAGTGGTTAATACTACATATTCACTAGGAATACTGTAAAATATATGTGTATCCATAATTGTCTTGGCAAATTCTTCAATTACACAATGATAGTAAAACTATAGTACATATACAGCTCACACCTAATAGTCACCACTATTTACTATAGCTAGTAATTCTTGGAGTCATTTCAACAACCAATTATGAAAATTGCTCTGATTAAACTGCTCTGAAATGATTAAATTATGGTTGGCCACAATCAGTACAAGCCATCTTAATACAACAGTAAGTCAAAAGGTATTGGTACAAAATCGTATAAACCCTTTTTAAATAAAGACCCAAATGTGAAGTTATATATCCACCATCTAGTTCAATACCAGAGGTGAGGAACATCTGGACCACAGGGCACATAAGGCCTACAAAATCATCAATACAATCTAACATCACATACCTCACCGAAGAAAAGCAGTTCCAGCCATCAGCTTAGGGGTGAGTTAATTAAATGCCTGGCCAGTAGGGCCCTTGGATGATGTTATAAACATCACACGGCCCTTGGCAGAGAAAAGGTTCCAAGCCCTATTCCATACACTTTTGAAGGTGTTGTTTCCTTCTCTCTAACCTTCCCCCAAAGTACTCTGCACTCTTCAATTTACATCAGGCCAAAACTGCAGTACTGCCACCCTTTGGGGGTTCAAGGGAGCCTAGGTAGCATAGTGGATTACATGCTAGGCTGTTAACTGCAAGGTCAACAGTTTGAAACTACCAGCCGCTCACCAGGAGAAAGATGAGGCTTTCTACTCCTGCAAAGAGAAACCCAGACGGGTGGTTCTATCCTGTCCTATAGGGTCGCTATGAATCAGGATTGACTCGATGACAGTGAGTTCTTTGAGTTTGGGGTTCAAATCATGTTCCTTTTCAATGTTGTTTAAGTCTGGGGAACAAAAAGACATCTGAAGGGGCAAGATCAGGGTTACAGAATGGACAGGGGCAAGTTCCCCAATGAAATTCCCATAGCCCTTGCTGCCCTTGAAAACTGAGCAGAGGTGCATTGTCTTGATGAGAAAGAAAAAAAAATTCTTTGACACAACTTTCCTGGTCTATTTCTCACCAACATAAGGCAGCTTTCAATTTTCTTGAAACTTCTAATAACTCTCTGTGGCCATCCTGTGTCCTTCAATACATAGATTCCCAAAGACAGCCACCACAACCTTCTGAGGATCTCTCTGCTTCGAATTTAACGAGCCCAGCACATGCCCTCAGAAGCCATCACCACCACCAACAAAACAGCACTGGTTGGGCTTATTTGGAAGACACCGTAACAAGATGAAGACACCGTAGTCATACAGGGATTACGGAAAGAACTTGTCTGCAGTCACCTGCGAATGGCAGAGACATGTGTAAACACATTTTCTTTGGGTTAATTCATGCGGGTATGAGCTGGAACCCCAGGAGCAATACTTTCTGACTCCCCTTCTTGTTATAATGACCTTTTTAGGTGAAGTGGATCAAAGCAGGTTTCTTCTATGGAACTTAACAGCACAGAGCAACCAATCTTCCACTTATTAAAAGACTGAAAGAAATCCTATAATTAAATGCCTACTAAAACACACATTTTACAAGGTTAAGTTAGGAGTCCTGAGGGCATAGTGGTTACTGGCTGGGTCAGGTCAAAACCACCAATCCTCTGGGGGGGAAGAGACCAGGCTTTCTACACTCATAGTCCCAGAAACTAACAGGAAGAGGTCTACCCTGTCCCCCAGGGTCACTATGAGTCTACATCGACCCTTTGACAGTGACTTTGGATTTTGGTTTGGCATAACTGGGTCTAGGAATACTATCCTCACAAACCTAGAATTCAGAAAGGGGACCTTCTCATACCCATGGCAGTGTTCTTCTAGCGTTTTCTCTCATAACTGTCACCATGTCCCACGTGCTGTCTGGGGGGTCTGTTTATTTTCTCCACTCACCCCCACGCAGCCAGCAGCTCAGGCTTTGATCACCATCACTCCCAAGGGCTGCAATGGCATCCCGCTCCCGCTGCCCACTCAAACACCACACAAGTACTTTTAACGCACAGCTAAATGGCCACACCCCAGCCCGATCAAATCTGTGCTTCACTCTAGGGCACTTCTTCCTTTTCAAAAATGAAAACGACCTTAAAAATACATCCCTTCGAGGCGATCCCGTTTCCTACCCTGCTGGATTTACCAGATTCTGCATTCTGCGTTCCCCAAGGCAGGGCGAGCAAGAAACGCACGCGACGCGCTCTTTACAAACATCAACTCTTTCCCGTAAAAACACTGGATCCCGACTGAAGGGCAACCCAAACACGCCAACCAACTGGAGGGTCGTGCAAGAGGAAGGACGCGGGATAGAAATAAATGCCCGGGGGGAACGTGTTCCAAAGAGATGGGTGCCCACCTGGCCCCCTCCCCAGCAGCAGCCTCGGACCCGCTTCCTGTGCGGTGACATTTCGCCTATCGGTCTTGCACAAGGGTTCGAACCCCCTCCCGGGCTCCACCTCCGTTCTGCAGTATCGGGGACCCTCGCCCGGGAGCCTTCGAAGTCAGCCTCGGCCGCGAACCCCAAGCACCCTCCGATACAGACAAGCTGCCCTGCCCCGCTACTGACCGGCTCCCAGGGGCCGGCGTCGGTTCCCGACTTGTCCCGGGGCTCGAGCCCCAACGGCGGGCCGGCGGCGCGGAGGGGTGGGTTTGGGGAAGCATACGCCCCTAGCAGAGTCCCTGCCAAGTCCGCGTCCCACTGACAGCCTCGCCCCTCCGCAGGGTGTCCCTCCCGTCGCTGGCCCTCCA